TATATAAACACGTGCAGTCGGACAACTGTTTTGGTTGATTTTGTCATATCACGCTGTTTTTCCAGCATCTTGCACCATGAGCACCATGTTTTTAAGACACTGTGTCAAATTAAAAATATTGCAACTTTGAAAAATGCATGTCTTCTGTTCTGCTCTGTCCAGCTGTAATGTAAGAACCCAGTCTGTGTGACTGTGAGCTACTCCATCTGCTCTCTGTAGGTGCGGTTTAATAGAATCAGAATGTCATAACAATTTCATATCATAGCAAAAGCTTCCAGTTCAGCCATTGCAACATCCAAACTTCTTCCCAACTACACACTGTAAAAAAAATTCGACATTTACGGTAAAATGCTGGCAGCTGTGGTTGCCAGAACTTTACCGTAAAAAATATGGTAGCAACATTTTAGGTTTTCAGACTTAAATTCACAGTTAAATACTGCATTTCATTAACTGATATAATGTTAATACACCAACCTATTGAAGTACTAATACCTGTTTTGTAACATTGTAATACACTGATAACCACCATAAACAGTTGGTGATGAGAAAGTCACATGATGAATCAAAGCTCATCACAAGCAACTCTTCCACAAACTGGAGAGGTAAATACTAGGGCTGTGTATCACCAGCAAAGTCACGATACGATACGTATCACGATACAGAGGCCACGATACGATACGTATCACGATACGGGACTGCACTGAATTTCACCTCAGCAGAATTTAGAAAAACAGCTGTTTATTAAACACTGCTTACTATAGTGCCATTTCTAACTATTGGCAGAGCAAGCAGTTGACCTCTGCATTATGAAGGACCTCCATAACTGTACCACAGTACAATATAATGGCATATGTTTCATGTTTACATTGGGCACTCCCCACCAGGTACAATATTCTGATTGTTTGCATCTTGTTTTTAGTGCCACAATATCGATACAGGGCCAGCTGTATCGATACTCGTATCGTCAAATCTCTGTGACGATACATCGTCGTATCGATATTTTGAACACAGCACTAGTAAATACTAATATATAGAAGGTACACAGTGTCATTCACACAAATAATAAACACCATCATGGTAACACATGTGATAATGAAATATTGCAATAAACTTTAATTTAACAACATTAGATGTAAGATAAATCCCTAATGTGCACAACTGATAAGAAAAAAACTTAGAAGAAACAGTTATTTCAATGAAAAAAACATCAAATGTGAAGCTTCATGCAGGGAATTCTGGGAATGTCAATTTACATTTTTCACTGTAAATTATACAATGACTTGTTCTTTTTTCACTTCCAAAAACCATCATTTTAAACAGTATTATACTGTAAAATTACATAAAATTAATAGGTTTTTACTGTAGCATTTTTAGTCTTTTACTGTTAAAATCATGATAAGTTTTTACAGTGCAGCGAATCGAGAATTTGCACTGACAAAGACCAAATAAGGACTGTTTAGTTTGCATGAGTGTCAGAATTTGTGAAATTATCTCACATAGTAATAAAATCATCCAGCTTGAGCAGAACAGTGTCCTTGAGATATTTCATTGTTAGTGATCATAGCCATGCATAAAATGTTGTTACATAAACTTTTTGTTTGGCATGTAAGAAATCTCAAGTTGCACAGGTGTAAATCTTTTTATCAGCAAGTGAGCTGCTTGTGCCCATTGGTGTTTTAAAATGATTTACCTAAGCTCACCGTCAGACTATGACTATGATTTTTATTTGACTGAAATAATATGACCTGTAGAACTTGTTCGTGCATCGTCTTCCACCTTCCCGCAAGTTATAATGACAAATGAGTGGTGTTGTTTGTCACAGCTGCATTTGTCTTGCATATCATCCTTTGCTTATAGTTTTCTCTTTTTCAAGAGCAAAGTCTTAGTTTTTTTGCGGAGTAATCAAATTTTTATGCAGGTTCTGCAGTAGTAGTGCAGTTGTGAAACTTGCTATTTTTTGTCTTTAAAATGATTGTGACGACATCTGACAAGAACTGATAAGAATCTACCCATCCGTTGGAATAAAGCCCCTTCCAGCTCTTTATTGGTAAAGATTCTCCCTTGTCACATTCAAGTGACCATTGTGTCAACCTTAAACAGTTCCGTTTGTTATATGATGGATTGCCTTTTCTACACAAAGCATTCAAGACAAAAATTTAGAAATGGCTGTCTCAATATTTCAAAGAACTGAAAAGCAAAAACACGCTTAAAACTGTGTTAACTAAGATAAGGCAATATTCCGTCAACTATAAGAAAACTTATTGTA